CGTACATGTATTCACGAGCAGGACATCTCAGCCTTACGAATTAATTGATTGCTTTTCAATCCGATGGGGGCACTGCCTAGTTTTTATTGAAGTTGAATCTCAAAACATCAACAGCTGACCACTTGGTCATAGTTTCAAATAACGTTTTTTTTTTTAATCTATTTCAAAGTCATAGTAATGTTGAAAATTTTCCATCTTTTGCGAAGGAGCGAGGAAATGAAATGTTTTCCACAGTAAAAGGAGCTAAAAAGCAACATAAATACTCGAACTCAAATGGATAGAAAGGGAAACGTTCTATTGGAACAAAGAACAACAATCATTCTACAGTATAAGAAAAAATCTACTGTGTCTGGTGAAAGATATGATAAGAAATTAAGAGATAATGAAATTAGAATTATTCAATTTCTTATCCAATTTCTTAAGGATGAGACTCATTCTCGCTACCGTTTTGATTGATGTATAAAAACAAAACGGAAAACCGAAGCAAAAGTTGTGACTGCATTTAATTAGTGAGGAGAGAATGGATTTCTAATTTTTTTCCGATTTTTTTTTCATTTCCTTTTTAGTTTTCAAGTACCAACATTTGATAAGACTGCAGATTACTTCATATATTTTAATTTTATGGAAAATCTTTTCACGGTGCACATTTTGCAGAACCAACTGTTTTTCTTAATAATTTATTTCCCGAAGTTGATCCCTGTCCAATTTTGCTTAAATTAGAACTCATTTGTACCTTTACTGAAGTACTATTTATACCAGAAACAATGCAAAGATCCTCTTGTTCTCCAGTTATTTCAATGGTTTCTTATTTTAATCACTTTGGTAACTGTGTTCCTCTACGTTTTGTGTATGACTTCGGCCCACGACATGGCGGCCATTTTACCCTGCTGTTGTTTATTCCAAGTTATAAATTTTCTTTTACTCTTTCAATAAGAATCTTTTTAATTTTAAGCTCTCCGAAAATTTTTTTTCGAGGATTTTTCGAGAAAATTTTTTTTCTAGGAATTTTTTCCTCAAGAAAAAAAAATCCTCGAAAAAAAATTTTCGGAGATCTTAAAATTAAATAAAATTCTTCTTCTTTAAAGATTAAAAAGAAAAAGAACACTGACCAACGGGGCCTGAGCCCCTCCGAAGTGCTTTAACAATTAAATTAAACGACGGCTGGGGGATACAGCCGCCGTTTAATTTGACATGTTAAATGTGCACTACCGCTAGACCACAGAAGCTTTTGGTAAGAGGACATGGCAAAATTACACTAGAAGTAGGTTCGCTCCCATTGTTAAGAGAAACAATAGGTTTTACCCAGTACACGTATCACCTTCGTGGGAATGTTTAATATGCGCATCATTGGAATTTCTTCGTATGCGCGAAACGTTTCGAGCTTGACGTGACTTAATTTGTTCTCCTCTAAATAAATGTTCTTTGACTTTATGGTAAGATTTTCCAGCCCAAAATAGTTCTGGCCACTCGAGGTCAAAATTCGGATTAAGAAATAATTATTATGAGTTTAATGCAAAGGGTTACACGAGAGACCGAGAAAAGTGTGCAAACCAGAACTAACATAAAACACTTAATTGGCATTTTCAATGGTACTTTCAAGTGTTAGATTTTTCCCAAGTAAGATTTGTAGTTTAACTCTGTAAGCGATTGTTGTGGTGATCTTTCAAAATTAAATATCTGTTTTCGATCTCTTTAAGGTTTGAACACTGACAAGAAGGAGGTTCAAGACATTTGCAAATAAAAAATAAACTTTTGAGCCGAGACTGTGACTTATATCGTATTGTTTTTGATGTTTACTATTCCGTCCTCTTACTAACACTGCAGCTATACTACAAATCCCTTTCATTTACACGTTTACTTCTACATTTTGACCGACTTTTCACTTACACCATTACAGCTTGAATTTCAAAGTTTTATTGAACAACTGTTTAATAGTACTACAACTGCTACACTTTGATTGGTTTTTGAACCTCTATTTATTAGTACTACTACTACTACTGGACTTTGACTGATTTTTTAACTACCATTACTACTACAAGACTGACTGATTTTTAAAGTACTTTTTCGTAGTACTATAACTGATGGACTTTGACAGATTTCTTAACTACTTACTACAATTAGACTTTGACTGATGCTTTGAGCTACTTTCTTCTTAGCACTACAACGACTGCTAGACTTTGACTGATGTTTTGAGCTACTTTCTTCTTAGCACTACTACGACTACTAGACTTTGATGTTTTGAGCTACTTTCTTCTTAGCACTACTACGACTACTAGACTTTGACTGAAGTTTTGAGCTACTTTCTTCTTAGCACTACTACGACTGCTAGACTTTGATGTTTTGAGCTACTTTCCTCTTAGCACTACTAGACTTTGACTGACGTTTTGAGCTAGTTAGAGTTACTTACCTAACCTGATGTTCTTAGTACTACTGCGACTGCTAGACTATGACTGATGTTTTGAGCTACTTAGAGCTACTTACTTAACCTGATGTTCTTAGTCCTACTACGACTGCTAGACTTTGACTGATGTTTTGAGCTCCTTTCTTCTTAGCAC